AATAAGAATACTTTTCTTCTTGACAAACAGAACAAATATTATTTTCAGAAGACATTTTGCTTTTATTAATATAAAAAATATTATTATTGTTGTAGAGTTTGAAGGACCACAGATCTTTTTCAGATCTTTTAGCAGGTAGTGTAAAAGTAGCAGAGAAACGATATATGAAAATTTGAATGGTGATTAATTAGTGTACATATACCCATTTTAATTGATGTGACTGGTTTGAGTACTTTAAATAATATAAATAATTCGTGCAACATTCATGTGATATTCGAATGTCCACCATGCTGATTTTATAAAATAAAAATCATTGATTAATATTAATGAAAAATTTCCTTTGGAGAAACAAATAAAATCAAATACTTGCAAAATCATTATCATAAGATTCATCTTTTTTTTAATTAAGAAAATAAATAAATAAATAAATAACTTCTTGAATATTTTTTATTCATTTTTATTTAAGGATGAGTTTATCATTAGGCAAATGCAAGTATAACAATACCTGCACCTGCCAGAGATTTAGAGCAAAACCTGATGATGAATTAATTTGTCTTTATTGTTCTCATTATGATGGTTATCATGAAACTAACAATGCTGTTGCAAGCATAAATTTTATTTCAAATTCAACAAGTTCAACTACTACTAGATATAAAACTCCAAGGGAAGAGATAATAAATAATTTTCGTCCCAAGAAAAAATCAACTTCTACAACACCATTAACTGTAGAAACAACAGAAAATACAACAATGCTTGATCCAAGTAGTCAAAATGAGGAAACTAATCCAGGTAATTTAGATATTAGTTATATTTAATAATATATATCTTAATTTGTTAAAGTTCTTTTACAAAAATAGGTATAAATCTAAATAATTTATTAACTGCCCCCATTGGAGATTTTTATTAAATGGAAATAATAATCCAAGTAATCAATCAGATATTTGATTGTTATTTTTTTTTAGAAAATTTATATTATATATAATGCAAGCATTTCAAAATAATATTATATTTTATTTAGTAATTTTTAATAAATAAATGTTTTAAAGAATAATTTAGAATTAAAGGATATTACAAATTTATTATGTCAAATTTAGTTATTAATAAATATAATAAATAATATCAATTAAATTATCTGTAATACATACATATAACATCTTTAACCATATTCCTTTCTAAGTATATAGAAAAAATTAATCTTTTATGATTTAAAACAACAATGAAAGAATAATAATAGTCACCAATTAAATAAGAAGGGATATTTTCTAGAAAATTTTTATTTTAAAATGCATGTTTTAACATTGTTGGAAAATTATCAATTAGTCTGCACCAGAATTACCAGAAAATAATTTTGTCATTACATTATCCATTGAAAGGTTATAATAATAATAACTGATTTAATCATTGCATAGCAATTCTTATTTATATACACCAGATTGATCCATTTTTTTCTTTGAAAAAATAAAAAAGCAATCAATAATTGATAGTTGATGCAATGTTGCATACATATCCTTTAATAATTTATTATTAAAAGTACATCAGTAGTAGTATTTTTATTACAGGAATATCAACTATTTTGACATTAATTTTCTATCTAATATAAATAATTTCTATTTTCTAACAATAAATTTTGTCAGCTCATTTAACCATTGACCTTTGGAAAAAGAAAAAAAAAATAATTAATATAATTATACATACTTTTTAATAGTATGCAGTAGTACCATCAATACCTGCAATCTTGAGATAATTTTCATCTTCTGGTCAATTGATATGATTTTAACTCAAAATTTACATATTAGTCATTATTATGAATTGAGGTAAATAATTTCTTTTAATAATTATATCCTCTCCTAGATGAATTGAAATAAATAATAATTACATTCTCATACATTCTCTCCTAGATGAATTGAAACAAATAATACCTTTTAATAAGCAAATAATTATTTTATGATATAGTTGTACATTTTTCCTATAATATCTATTACTTACTTTCATAAATAATAGGTTGTAAACTTGGTTCTTCTAATTTCTTCTTTTTTTGCTGAATTCAATCTACGTAAAATTCTTGACATGAATTTTAAATTCTATAAAATCATTTTTTGTGGATCTCACTAAAACTTATTAACCAAAAAGTAATGACCATATAAAAGTTTAGTATTTTACACCTTATAAGCCACTATCAAATCATTTAAAGTAACATTGAAAAATAATAATCTTAGCTTTGAAGCAAAAAATATGCCATTTTTGAATAACCATGGATTTATATAGAGAGGGCATTTCAATATGAAAGGTATTCTTTAACAATTTTGTTTTTATTATAAAAAAACTTTCCATGACATATGTTAAATTAAAATAGCAAGGTGACATTTTCTTTTTTATACAAATGAGATAATGTGCCATTAAGATCCAATTAATAATTAATTAAAGATCCAGTTAATAATTAGTTAAGATCCAGTTAAGATCCAATCAATAATTAGTTAAAAACCTCTAATTAATAATTAGTTAAGATCCAATTAATAAATCAGCTATGACATGTTTAATAATTAGTTAGTTCTAATTAATAATTTCTATTATTCATTTAATAATTATTTATAACCATTTAATAATTATTTATAACCAATTATAAATTGGTTACAAGCAATATATATTTGGATATTGACCTAATTAATAAAATTAATAATTAGACTCCATACAGTTAAGATCCAATTAATAATTAGTTAAAAACCTCTAATTAATAATTAGTTAAGATCCAATTAATAAATTAGCTATGACATGTTTAATAATTAGTTAGTTCGAATTAATAATTTCTATTAACCATTTTAATAATTATTTATAACCAATTATAAATTGGTTACAAGCAATATATAATTGGATATTGACCTAATTAATAAAATTAATAATTAGACTTTTGTCCATTATGGCGCGCCATAGGAATCGTCCAAAAATCCTTAGTCGACTACTAGTTGGTCAAAATTTCTTTTAGTCGACTATTTAGTCGACTAATACTAGTGTGTAACCATTGGCTTCGCAAAATGGTCACATACTAGTCACGGGAATAACATCCTATTTAATTAGAATATTCATTCTGTTTCATTATTATTAACGTTTTTTTTTAATTT